CCCGAGCACTGTCCGAGTTTAATTCGGGCGGACTCAGGTTGAATTCGGCTTAATAATTTTGGGCTACTTTACGGGTTCAATTCGGATTGATCCCAAATTAGACTTGTTGTTCTAAACCTGATACATATATTACATAATATTCACCTAAATTAACAACCAACAACTTCAATCAAGTTTTTAATATAAAAATCATAATATTAAGAACTCAATGTTTGAGATAATGTAACTATAATTATACAAAACACAAATAAACACAACCAAAATCATTGTACAAACATATAGTTCACTGCTTAAATAGTGAGTAAGGAAGACGTACAATGAAAACTTCAGAACAGATTAACCCTACACTTAAAAATGTATTTATATGGTTATGAATATTCGGGTTCATCGGATTGAACCCGATTTTAATATTTGGGTTCAACCCGGTAACTTGAGGGGTCAACCCGATGCCCGCCAAATTGAATTTGATGAAGTTTTTTGACCCAAACTCAATCCAAGTATTAAAATTCCTATCTCAAACCCTAATATTTTTGGATTGGGCTCGGGTTGAAATCGAGTTAGCCCTCCCAAGTTACACCCCTAGTGGCTAGGGTGCTACAACCTATAATGTCGGTTTAGATAAGAATGTTTTTTTTTTTTTTTTTAAGTTCTGCGATCAGAATATTTTGGCTAGTATACATGCACTTTGAGTAATCCCCTTTCTAGTCTGGTCAAATACAAATTATTCATATTGGAACTAAGATATTCATCAAAGATAAATCATTGATGATCTGAACTGAATATATTGTTAAGATTCTAACTCAAGATGATTGAGTTTTTACCTTATCCTTATTATCATGAGAAAGGGGGAGAGGGGTTTTGTTATCATCAAGCTAATGAGTGATGTTTGTAAATATCTTGCTGCAAGCAGCTTGGGACATGAAAGTTCTTTTTCTCAGTGTGCTGCAAATGCTTCGTGATTATAATGTAAACTATAAACATGCAAAATCCTTAGAATTTCACGCACCAAGTTGATTAATTAGGTGTCTTTTATAAGAGTTAATCTCGATATCTTAAGACAATAACTCTTAAAAAATCTTTTCATCCACACTACCCGGCTATGTTTCATAGCGTTCTTTTATTTGGTAAGCCACATTAATCTTGATTAGAGACAACCAGCTACCATTTATCTAACCTATCCCCACGTGCCCCTAAACATTAAAGCACAAAAAAGAATACCATTAATTTTTTTTTTGATTAATTGAACCTCGTTTTCAACCTGTTTTTCTATCCCATGAACCAGAACCCTACTTTACTAGTCATTCTCTTTTATGAATACATATAATCTACACCTCGACAAATTCTCTTGGCACCTTTTCTTTTGTTCTTTATTCTTTCTTAAAGGCGCCGTATATTTGAACTGAAACCCTCTTTGTTTTTCCTGTGTGCTCTCTTTTCTTCCGTCCATGAAATTTCCATTGAAGACAGAAGGATAGCGTGGAGAATTTTACTATGTTTTGGTGGATTCCATATTCAAGTCCAATCTGGGCTGCCACCGAGCTAAATTCTTTATGAATAACCCAGAATCAATTCGGACTTTTGGCGGCTTGTTAGACTCGTGAACATATATATAAATGTGTCTGGACTTATTCTTGAACATGAACTTAAACTCATATTTAATTACGCTTGGATATAAGTTCAAGTTCGATTCACTTGATCAAACACATCTAGTGGAGTCCAAGTTTGGACAGATAATTAACAAATCAAACTTTAAGATGTTTCAAACTCGTCACGAATGTGTTGGATTCCGAATTGTCCAGCATTCGGTTCATTTGCACCCCCTAAATCTAACCCACCAATTTTGGCAATGCACTTGGGACTTGGCTTGACGATTACTTTAGTTGGGTATAGCATGTTATTCCTCTCCTTTTGAATATCTTCTCTATAATATGCACTTATGCAGGTATCAATATTTAATAACAGTTTATTACAAAAGAGGTACTTTTCAAACCCTTGTGGGTGACAGTCACCCGTCAGCTCCCTAGATCCCCTATTGTGTGCAAGTTTTGAAAGTAAATTCTTTGGAACAGTTATAAATTTAGACATTTTAAATTGGAGTTTTGATAATTTTTTAAGGTCAGGTCATGAGGAATTTATTTTTTATAAATACCCTAGTCTTTCGACGTGAAAGATTTACTTTGACCGGATCAGAGAAAATATTAGTTGAAATAGACGTAAATTGACCCAAATATCTCTAATTGTTGAAAATAAATATATAAATAAAGTCTTCGGAATAGAGCTGTTTGATTGGATCCAATGGTCAATATAAGACCTCTTTGATTGGATCACATGGTCGACAAAAGACTAATGCCAGCTCTGTGTAATTTGTTATAAAGTGGCAATTTTTATGTTGAATTGTCTTTGAATGAAGACTATGCATTAATGCATGGCTAGTCATGGTAAAGAAAAGAAGCTATGAACTTATTTTCCCTGTGTGGACACTATTTCTTCTTGAGCCCTTGCCCCACACCATGACAAATTTCCAAAGAAAAATTAACGAGGTTCAAAAGAAGTAGAGAAAGGAACAAGCAGCACCATCTTACCTAACTAAAAAAAATTCGATACCAGACCTCTTTTTCTTGTTTAATGAGAATACACATGTATAATAAGTTTTTATTTTATTGTTTCACTTCATTTTATTTTTTTGACGATCAACATTTACAACGAAATCAAAACAAGATGTACGTTTATAAATCATTGGTTATATAAAATAAAAAAGATATTTTTTGTTATTATATCTCTATCTACTTTATTAATGGGTTCTTTATCTTTCTGTTGAACATTAATTGTGACTAAACAAAGTTGAGAAAGGCACGTTTGTACCTGTTGAAATATATTAGTGTACTATTCAAAGAGAGTAAGGGAGGGGCTGGAAATGTTGGATGATAGTTCACATCAATGGCCAACAAAATCAATGACCAAATTACCATCTAACTTTGAATTGCTTTCTTATTTTATTTTATATAATTCAATAAAGAGGAAAGTTGTATACACTTATAAATATGATTAATATTTTAAATCGCAAATACGAGATAGAGTCTTGGTATACGAAATTGTACACACTACGAATGAAATTATGATATTGACAATTCAACTATCACACCAAATGAGTTTGAAATTCGGGGTTTTATAACTTTCATACCGAAACATGTATGATATGAAAGTTTATTATATTTTTAATTCAAAATATAATTTTTATGGTCAAATTAAAAAAAATAATTTTATAATCAATCACAACACTTAAAGATCAATATTAAAAACATATATAATTTTCGAGATTAAGTTACTTTTTTTTTAATGCAATAACAACATTTTGGAGGTGTTTGAGATGCCTGTATTTTATTATATTGTGGACATATTTTTTTGTGTAAAACACGACGAACATGTAATGTAGACGGTGTAAAATCAATTAAAATAGTAGGAACAATTTGAAAAACTCAATAATATAATTGACAAAGTGTAATTTTTCTTAGAATTAGGACTTATTTATTTCTATGTTTTTTTTTTTTTCCTTGTGTTGAATTCAGACTACGCATGAAACATGAGGAAAGCAAAATAGATAGGAAGTTCCAAAAGTCTAAGCAAGTGACGCCGTCCCACTAGTACCGCCCAAATCAGAACACGTGGAGTTTTTTTATCCAAATATTACGGTTCCTCTTGTGGTAGTTTTTTTAACAATTTTTTTTTAATTTTTCCATAAAATATATAAAATTGTAATTTAAATCATCAACATCTCTAAAATTTGTTTTTAATCTACACTTTTATTTGAAAAATACAAGTTTAAAACAAAGTTCGGTAGATATCACAATAGATTTAAAAATAAATTGCAAAATAAAATTAAAAAATCACTAGAATTTGAAAATTGATTTAGAATGCAAACATCCAATAAATAATGAGAAATATTACTTAAACTTAATTTATTGTACCGGATTGATAGTGAGTATCATTATTAGTCGAGATCCATTGCCAATCAATAATTATAATGCATTAGATTAGTAATTAAGAAGATCTAGGTCTATCAATCGTGTCGTTTAAGACGAATTTGTGTCGAGTCTGAATAGATTCATGTCAAAAAGTACTTCATATATATCTAATTTATTTATTAATTTGTGTCTATCGAATCGTGTTATATCGAATCTATATTACGTATAATTGATATATAAACAATTTTTTTTTATTAATTTCACTCATATTTTATTTGTTTATTAATTATGTTATATCAGGTGTACTCGTTTATAAAATAGTGATTTAGAAAAAGTTTGAATCTTTTAATTTTATTTTTTTTAATGGATTATATTGTATTTTGATTAACCCCGACGTATTAGATCCAAGTAATTTTTTTTCATAAGCTACACAAGGAGTAAAATGTATAGAATTACCTCACCCAATCGTCAGTCTCACCCACGCTTTGGAGAAAATATTTTTATATGATACCACGTTGACAAGGTGACGTGGTATCACTAATTAATAATATTAAAATAAATAAGTACATGGATCTCACAAAAATTAATAATTAATTTATCGTGTAACTAAATAATTTTTTGCATTTTTACCATATAAATTCAAGTAAAATTTATTTTTTTTATTTAAAATTTTATTATTGATAGATGATACTATGTCATCGATGGGACCTGGCATCACCGTTTCATTCGATATTTACTCCACGCGATGGCCGTCAAATTCGTTGACTTTCTCTCTCTCTTAAGCCTTTTCATTTTCACCACGTGGAACGCGCCGCAACCTTCGGGCCGGTTGGGTTTTCTCTATCTTTACGAACGAGTCAAACTCAGTCTTGACGAAATGTAGACGAAACCCCCCTATCTCTCTCCCCAATTGGGTCCCATTGGCCATCTGTCACCTACTCTGACGCACATGCTTACGTAACGTTTCAGAACCCTTTGGTTTTCTCACTTCACCACCTTCCTCTACGCTACGTCCCCATGAGACCATGACTCTCATCTCAACCCTTTTTATAGCCTTCCTCATTCCACCTATCAAAAACTTCTCAGACTCTCTCTTTCTCTTTCTGTTTCTATACATCTAATCCACCAAACTCTCTCTCTCTCTGTTTCTATACATCTATCAACCAGTTATTGTTGATCATTTTATTTGTTTGTTAATATATGGGAAAAGGATGGGGTCTAACTCTGGATAATTCTGATCCACCTGGGTTGTTCTTCAATAAGCCAGTTGGGTATAATTTAACTCCCAAGTTGAATAACAAGAGAGACAGTATGTTTTCCGGCATGGGGTTTCCGGTTAATCTGAGTCGAAGGGAAGAGCCGGCAGTTTTGTCGCCGGTGGATGAGGATCGGGTGGTTGTAGGTGAAGTGGACTTCTTCTCCGATAAGAAGAGGTCAAATGATGATATGGTTGTAAAGTTAGAAAACTCACCTCCAAGGACTAATCAGTATGATGTAAATGTAAGAAGCAAAGTTTAATTTTCATGTTTAAAGCGTTTTTCTTTTATTGATGTATATAGTTTTAGCCATTATTAATGCTTGTTAATTTCAATAGAACAAAATGATGAATCATAATTCATATAACCGACTCCAAAAATTCCAGAATAAATAGAGATAAGTATTAACATCGGTTTTTTTTTTTTTACCCAATTCACAGACTGGCTTGAATCTTCTTACTGGTAATACCGGAAGTGATCAATCAACGGTGGATGATTCAACTTCATCAGATATGGAATACAAAAGAGCTAAGGATGAGGTAAATTGTGACAATTTTTTATAGATATTATTGTAATTCAGTCATAAATATTGTGTACCATATGAAGTTTATGTCTAACCTTGCTTTCTGTTTTATCAGATGGTATTATTGCAAGTTGAGCTTGAAAGAATGAATACCGAAAATCAGAGGTTGAGAGGGATGCTTTCTACTGTTAGCAACAATTACAGTGCACTGCAAATGCATCTTGTGACATTAATGCAACAGCAGCAGAGCTCAAAAACTGAAACCACACAAGAACTTGAGGTAAGTTTTAGTTCGATATATCTTGACCCATTTCCATTTTAATCCCACCTTTCTCAGATATTGCAATAGCAATATAGGCAATAGCAAAAGACTCGTGCACCGAAAAAAAAAATAAAAATTTCTATGATTCAAATGATTGAACTTATGTATGGTCCTTCCTATTTTACATATGTTCAGGTTGTAGGAGTAAGATCAGAAGATCAGAGAAACGAGGTTGGAGGACTAAGGGTGCCAAGACAGTTTATGGATTTGGGCCCTAGTGCCACAACAGAAGCTAATGAATCATCTCAATCTTTATCTGAAGAAAGAACTCTTTCTGGTTCACCTCAAAACAATCTTGATTTATCAAAAAATAAAAATCTCAGTGAAGGTAGGGAAGAGAGTCCCGAATCGCAAGGTTGGGTTCCTAACAAGGTTCCGAAATTGAGTTCCCCCAAGCCTGTTGATCAGGCCATGGAAGCCACAATGAGGAAAGCCCGCGTCTCTGTTCGAGCTCGATCAGAAGCTCCTATGGTAATTCACTAGACTTGTACATTGCTAAGAATTCAATTCACCAAAAAAATTATCCTATTGTTGTGAATTGTGTGACTAATGCATATAAATTACAGATCTCTGATGGATGCCAATGGAGAAAATATGGACAAAAGATGGCTAAAGGCAATCCATGCCCACGAGCATATTATCGGTGCACCATGGCCGTTGGTTGTCCAGTGCGCAAGCAGGTATGTTTCATTTCTTTCACTAATTTTGTTGATTAATATTCAATATAACGATTACATCACGTTACTACTGTCAGGCTTAAAATTTTGTAAATATTGATATGAATTACGGAACCTTTGCAGGTTCAAAGGTGCGCTGAGGATCGGACAATCCTCATAACAACTTATGAAGGAACTCATAACCATCCACTCCCTCCGGCTGCAGTGGCGATGGCATCAACCACATCAGCCGCTGCGAATATGCTTCTTTCGGGTTCCATGTCGAGTGCAGATGGGATGATGAACCCGAACATCCTGGCAAGGGCGATTTTTCCTTGCTCATCAAGCATGGCAACAATCTCAGCCTCAGCCCCATTTCCAACAGTCACTTTAGACCTCACTCAAACCCCAAATCCATTACAATTCCAAAGACCACCACCCCAATTCCAAGTCCCTTTTCCAGGAGCCCCTCAAGTTTTTGGCCAAGCTCTTTATAATCAATCAAAATTCTCAGGCCTCCAGCTCTCTAAAGACATGGATTCTTCCCAATTACTACCCCACCAAGGTTCATCTCCACAGTTGCATCAAACTACACAACATCCCTCATTTGCTGAGACTCTCAGTGCTGCCACGGCTGCCATCACCGCCGATCCGAACTTCACCGCCGCCCTTGCTGCTGCCATCACATCCATCATTGGTGGTGCTAATGCGAACAACAATAATAAAGATACCACAACCACCACCAACACCAACACCAACATTTCAACCACCAGCAACAAAACAAGTAGTTTTCCAGGGAATTAACTGAATAGTATTCTAGTGTTTTTGTTGTTGCCATTCTTTTTATTGCTTGGTGTCAATACTTCCACCATCTTTTGTCAATTTTCTTTATTGTGGGGGTGAGAGTTGTGGGAGGAGGTACAAGGTTTAGAACAGGAAATTTCATTCTTTCTTGTTGTTTCCCGCAGAATAATTTTATCCAAATTTGTAGTAAATACTAGCAAACAAAACAATGCATCATTAGTTTGTTCATGACATATTTTGATGTTATCTTAAATGTTTTTCTTCAACAAAGAATCATCCCAATCACACATCATTGAAACTCGAGATTACAACACAAACCTCCATTAGTGAGTTAGCTAGTTACGTCTCTGGTTTTGTTACGTAGCCAGGAAGCTGACTATGGTAAGAAACAAGAAAGAAGAAACGAATAATCCAACGTGTTTGAGGCATATTCTGATTTGATTGGTCAACAACTTCGGCCAACACTGTTTGAATAGGCCAAAAACAGTAGACCCAAAGAGACTTTTTTTTTTTTTAAAAGGACGCAAAGAGACTTCAAGGCAACTTCCTTTAATTGTACATGCACATGCATATACATACATGGATAAGGCTAGAATCATCATCAAAAAAAAAAAAAAATGGTACCATATCAAAATTAATACGAAATTGTAGATCTTGATTGGATGTATTTTAGCCATTGATTGTATGAATAATAAATTTATAAAAATAAGAAAACTGCATAAGATTTTTAAAATATAACTAATATTTTAAAAGATTTTTTTTTTTTTAGTATCATACATCTACTCCATGCTCAATTAAAAACTTATGCCCAATAAATATTAGTTAGACCCAAATATATATAAAACTAAGTTTTAAAGAATTACATTTTATACCCTAAAAGATTTCATATTTTCTCACTTTGTACTTTCAAATTTTTGATTTTCTACACTATACCTTTAATGCATTAAAAGTATTTTTGATATTCTTATACACCGAAGTGATTTATTTATTTTTCTGCCTCTTATCTTAGAATTTTCTGGACGTAGTGGTTTGTGGGTCGTTGTTGAAAGCTTTTAATTTTATTATACGACTGTGATACGTTATTGACTTATGTGTGCACCCTGAGGTGATGGTCTGCCGACTGATCATAACAACTATTACTATATTTTTGTCAAGAACGTGTTGAGATTTCTAGGTCTCACCGTACTTTATCCACCGTACTACTTTGTTTACCAGCGACTTTTTAATTAATTTCCACGTGCTTGCATGTGATTTGGCTGACCAACATCATAAGTCATCTCCCCGGTGATTGTATGAATAATTTTTTTGTTAATTTTTTAGAGCACGAGATAAAATCTTAATTTCGATATCGACACGAGGGTGGTTAGATTTTTTGTAGATAATTAAATTATGTGATACTAAAAAATAATATTTATTAATGAATATATAGAGTGATATATCTATATACCTATTTTATATATCAAAAAATATATTTTATATTAATAGTTTAGATCTGTCTAGTTAAATATGGATATAAATACTTGGTTTAATTATTATGTGAAAATATGATTGAAAAGAGTAAATAATTGATAAGATCTTGTCGAAATTTTGATCTAATTTGGTAAAATACAACTCAATTGAGATGATCAATTTTCAATTTTTAATGAATTTGGAATAAGTTGCAAAAATTAAATCTATCAAATAATCATATTGGAGTCGAATTGGGGTTTTGATCAAATTTATCAAATCAAATCATTCAAAAATCGATCGGTTACTTGACCTACTTAGGATAAATTTTCAGAGTTTATTAACTAACAAACAACCTATACTTTTAATTGAAATGTTGTTTTTTGAATAGAGATAAAAAACTTTCATCCTTTTTCGAACTACTGGGACGGGAGTCAATACATCTTTATCTTTATTTGATGATTTTCGCTAGAAAGCTGAATAATCTTGATAATGATTTTTGGGAGAAGGACAAACCTTTATCTATATCTATATCTATATTTATATTTTTATTTATACTACTTAAAATGAGCTTCACATTGTTTATGTTACCAAAATTCAATGTTTCCGAGTTTATACACACAAAGAGAGAGAGTATATGTGTTTTATTACCTTTCGGAAAGGTAAGCCAACGTTTTCCTCCTCGTAGGTTTATTGTCTTCAAGTTAGGATTGACTTTGATTTACTAGAAGCATTAATTGAAACGTCGTCGTGCTTACATACAAGTCTCTTGTTTTATTTTTTTGTCTTTTTTAATATTTCTGCTTTTGTTGATCCCATTGAGTAAAGATTTTTAGGTTTTTTCTTTTGAGTATTTAATTAATTTTTTTGCCTATTGGTCAATATATCCTAATGCATTCTCCAATGGTGAAATTTTTTGAAAGAAGAATTAAAAATATATTTTAAAAGTTGTATACATAATACAGTCTTTCTATTTATGTGGGAGATCAAGAACGATGAGCAATAAATGACTTTAATTTATATTTCAGAGGTTAATATTCAAATTTGAACTCACCGTGTATTTCATTTTATGCACGAGTTTACTTAACAGTGGTAAATGGGAGAGTGAAGTGAATCCGGCACGATTTGGTGCAATTTAGTGTCAAATTATCCTAACAAATAGGTTATGATGGCTTGGACAAAAATAGATTAAGTTAGACAACCCAACCTTTAGTGAAGAGCAAAATCCGCCGAATTCATAGCTTATGTCACTAGAAGGAAAATTTTACAAAGTTTGAGCTACCGATGGGTTCACTGGAACCTCCAAAAGTCACATGGATAAGGTTTCGGTACAAAAAAATATCACGGGATTAGAGTTCGATGCATGCATTAGTTTTTTAGGTTATCTAATGATTTGATTACTAATCAAGTGTTAAGTAACCATCTATTTTGAAAACAATGGATTCCTCTTAGTTTAAAACTAGGAAATATAATATCAGAGTGGATTAGATTTAAGTATGAGTAATGATTGGTCACTTTTTGTTTTAAAGCATATGATATATTCTTGGCATGAACTTCTTCTCTTTTTGGGTAATTCTAACATTTTTCTCGAGACAATTATAAGAAATTGTGCATATGGATTGCATGCATTTTTATTAAATTGATTCAAGTTAAAATAAATACACCTTTTAATAAAAAAAATTGATTCAAGTTAAAATAAATACACCTTTCAATAAAAAAAATTATATCTGAAGTTGAATATACCAATTGGATCGATAAGTAGTTATGATATTTGTTCTAAATTTTGTAGGACTATTTTGCTATTAAAAAGTTATTTTTGTCGGGCTGCACCTTCTCTTCTATTGTCAAGTTAATAGTGTGTATAATGCTATGTTAAGCACACACATGTATTATAAATCAAATATAAATAGAAACGGTTCACGAACGCACGTGTGCAATAACTAGTAATATAAAATATGATAGATTTCAATAAAATTTATCTGACGGTTTCAAATAGAATCATCCAATGACCACCAACATTCCTCTTAAACTTTCACCGTGTCTTCAAACACAGGTTACTCTTAATCCAATAATAAACTACCAAAGTATACAAGTGAACTCCACAAAATTGAATAATTACACAATCCATATACGATAATAACTATCCATGTAAAAAATTAGGATTCATCTTACTCATTTGTTTATTTGTTATCAAATAATTATATCACATGACAATACTGATTTAGTATAACTGTAACATTGAATAGTTACTCCCAATAAGCAAAGGCTTGGGTCACCACCACCTTCGGCCACCTTTAACCTTGGGTTATTTATTTTTCTTTAGTATATAACACTTATTTTTGACTTTTTTTTCATACTTAAGAACAAAAAAATATACATGAAACAAATGAAAGATAATACATGTATGTGAAGTTTTTTATTGGTAAACTAGTTATTTCCCGTGCTTAAATGCACAAAGTAATAAAAAAAATAGTTAATAATAAACATATTTATATTCATATCTAAAATCAAATTACAAAAATAGAGGAGATACAAAAGAATTAATCATCGATTATAATGGGGGCGAACGATAGTTATGGTGGTGGGTGGGAGTGATGGTAAGGGTGAGCGGTGGTTGTGGGGGTGGGCGACAGTGGTGGTGGGAAACAGTGATAGTTGTGATGTGTGATGATGATTGATTGTGATGGTCGTAACCGTGGGTGGCAATGACGATGATAGTGGTGGGGCGGTGGGGGTGATGGGGGGACAATGGTAGCAGCAGTGGTGGTGGGGCACAGATGGGGTGGGGGTGGTGGGGCTACGATGGAGGTGGTAGTGGTGGCGATAACGATGGAGATGGTGGTGGGTGGGACTATGGGAGTGGTGGTAGTTGTGATGGTGGTTGTGGGGCGGTGGGGTGTGGTGGTCATGAAGGGTGGCGACAGTGATACTGGTAGTGGTGGTGGTGGTTGTTGTGGCAGACGTGTTGGTAATTGAGGTGGTGGGGTGGCGACAGCAACGACGGTGGTGGTTGTTGTGGAAGAGGTGATGGTGGTGATAGGGTGGCGACAACGATGATGATGGTGGTGGTGGGGGGGGTGGCAGCAATGGTCGTGGTGGTAGTTGTTGTGGCAAAGGTGATGATGTAGTAACGGTGGCGATAGTGGTCATGGTGGTAGCAATGGTGATAGTGGTGATGGTGGAGGTGGTGGAGTGACAGTGGTATTGATAGTAGTGATGGTGGATGAGTGTGGTGGTGATGGTGGTAGTGGTGGAGTAACTCCAAACACTTCTTTTTTTTAGAAAAGTAATTATAAAAAATTATAAGTTGTAGAAGCATTTTTGAAAAATTATCCAAAACACATCATTATGAGCATTTTTCTATATTAAATCTGAAATGTTAATATTAGTTGTTAGATTAATTTTAAAATAAAATTTAAATAAATCTCAACCGCGAAAAACAAAAATCATTTTGTTTATCTTTTGAAAGTTGAATTGTATTATACTTTATTATATAGATAGTATTTTGGTCTCTAAAGTTTGTATGTTTTATCAGTATAGTCCCTAAAGTTTTAATTCGTGTTATTTTTGTTCCTAATCAAATAATTCGTAAGATTCAATTATTGTCATTTTAGTCCCTAATCGGAACAAAGTTCTTCTTCTGGTAGATATTATATGGAAGTGACCACATATCATTATTTCAGACAATATTACGCGACCGACATATGGTCATTCTGACAAAAATTTAACTGTTCACCTATATAGGGACTATTTAAACACAAATTAAATATTTTAGACATCAAATTGAGAAAATCGATACTTTAAAGATTAAATTGACAAAACGTGCATATTTAGAGACAAAAGTACTATTAATCTTATTTTATATGTTAACTACTTTTCAGGACCGGACCATGCCAGCCCAATGGCCAAGGTGCCTTCCTTGGGCCTAGCCCAGTAACAAATTCTAGCCCAAGCCTTATCTTCTGGCTGGGACCAGCCAACACTATTGGCTTTTCGGAACTGGATTGAGTCAGCCCAATAGTGGAAACAAAATTGTGTTTGGGTAAAAAAATTCATCCAAGTATCTGAAAAATTTTATTTACATGGTATTTATCGGAATCCATTAAATTTTGGACATTCGATTTGATATCCAACCAGATCCCATTAACTTAATTAGAGTTGATTTTAATAAATTATAATTTAATTTTAACTCATTTTGATCAAATAGTCACCAAAATTTTTAAAAAAAATGTTTATATTAAATTCATATTGGATTATAATTGAATCAAATATTAATAAATTTTGAACTTAGATCCGTGAAAATGATAGAACATATTAGAATTTCATATTAATATAATTGGTAAAAAAATATCAATTTATTCCCACTAATAGGATTCAAATTAAGCACTGATCTATTAACAAGTCTAGAGATATCAATTTTTGGTTGAGTCACGTCTTTGGGCTGAGCCACCTCTGTCAGGTGGGGGAAAGGCTCAAGCCCAAACATAATTAATATTAATTTAAGATTAATTAATACTCGACACACACACACACACTTGAATAACACTACACTACACTACATGCACAACACAATTATCACCAAGAGACGAAGCGGAGAAGGAGGTGTCGCCAAACAAAACAACTTGCATGCTTTTCTGACACGTAGCCTGCCCGGTACAACGCCATCGCACGCACACAACTACATGCCCGCGTCTTTATCCCTCACAGTTACTCCATCCTTATCACGGACCTACTTTATTATCTTGTCGCTTACCTTTCGCATGCTTTAATCACCGTCAAATCCAAAAATAGACGGTTAGGAATTAACGACACTTTTTCATATGCTGTGTCACGTCGTGCCTAACTTCCTTCTCACAGTGCTTTTGCTGCCTCTATTTAGAGTCCCCAAAGAGAGCATCTCGTGACAGCGACCTTCATCTACACATCAACGGTGGAGAAGAGAGTTTGTTATGAGCTCCAACGGTCAGGATCAAAACTAATAGTCCAGTCTCTCTCAAGAATCTCGGTGTCGTCTGTGAGGTAGACTTTCTCTCCTCTCCCCTCTGTTACTATATATACGCATAGGACCTTCGTTTCTGTCAAAACTTCTGTATCTTCTCTTCTAAGGAACGATCAAATATTCGGTGAGTGATTTTGATCTTTGCTTACTTCTTTTGTTTCTCTTTAATTGCGGCTATTATGTATAACTACAGTGGGATGAACGCTACGAAAGATTAAGGTTTTCGGTTCTTTTTTGGGGTGAATTAAACTTATATAATTGTTTTTCGATCAGTGTTTGCGGTCTTTAATTTTTTTGTTGTGCTGATTGTCTGATTTTCTCCCCGTTGCATGGCTATAGGTTCTGGCTTGAGATTATTGTTAGTCAGCGTTGTCTACGATTATATGAGAATTTTATTTAATTGTATGTGTGAATGTTGTACTATACGTATGATTTTTGTTTTTCTGTGTTTTTTTTTTTCGTTTTGGTTTATTGTTTTCTTTTTCATATGCATGTTGTGTTTGGATGCTGAGAAAAGAAAAGGTGGTAGCTTTGAAAAAGAAGCAAATTTTAAAATTTGGAAACACGAGGTTTCAGTTTCATAATTGGTGGAACGTGGTGGGGAAGAGAAAAGCTTTTGGTGTTGAAAATGATGGAGGAGGAGGAGGTGGTGGTGGTGGAAATTTTAAATTTTCAAAATATGAAAGCTCCAATTGTTTTGAACTAGAAAAAGTGAAATCCTCCATGCTCCAGTTACCTGAGCCTAATAGTTCATTGGTTTTTTTTATTTATTTTATTAAATCTATATTAGCCAAGGCCCAAGGGAACTGATAGGGCTAGCCAACGAGTTGTTTTTTGGGGTTTGTTCCTACCTATATTCCAATGTGGGAATGAGAACATGCCAATGTGGGGCACAAAAAACAGAACAGCTGAAACTTTGTCATTTGACAATTCTTTTTTTCCTTTTATTACTTAGTGTTGGTCTGGAGACTTTGTTGATAAAATTCAATTGTTTTGGCTCCGTTTGCTTCCATGAAAAAAGCATATGGATTACCCCTGTAAGTCTAGTTTATGGTCATGCTTTTTGAGACTTTGTTAATTTAAATGCGTGCTATGAAAGTTGAGGGAAAATCTGGCTGTGTGTCAAATTTGCTTTTTTTAAGCATGAATTTTTTTTTTGAATTTGAACCGAAATCATCCTAAATATTATGTGATTCCCTTTTCCTTTCACACACGCACATGTTGATGAATGTGTGGTATCTGTGTCCTTGGTATCATAAGGTATCTATCCCTTCCTTTGGTTCACCAGTCAGATTGTGTTAATATTCTGGTTTCACTAATAGGTCAGCATGGGAACCAAATTGAGAGCCGTTGTTGTCACTCTGTTCCTCTCACTGCTGTTGTTCCCTCTGGTTTTTTCTGCTTCCAATGATGGTTTGTATAGAATTGGACTGAAAAAGACAAAATTTGATCAAAACAACTGGCTTGCTGCCCAGCTTGATTCTAAGGAAGGGGAGGCATTGAAGATCTCTATAAGGAAGTATAAATTCCGAGGTAATCTAGGGGACTCCAAGGACACCGATATTGTCACACTAAAAAACTACATGGACGCACAGTACTTTGGTGAGATTGCTATAGGGACTCCCCCTCAGAAGTTCACTGTAATCTTTGACACCGGCAGCGCTAACCTGTGGGTGCCATCAGCAAAATGTTATTTCTCGGTGCGCCCAAATTTCTATACTATGCAAACTTCTGACGTATCAGTTTCATGTATATGCTTGCTTCATTGGAGGTAGCAAATTATCTTGTTTATGCATTTTTCTGCAGGTTGCTTGTTTTTTTCATAACAAGTACAAGTCAAGCCAATCAAAAACTTACAAGAAAGTTGGTGTGTTTTTCGTCTCCCTTTACCATCCATGTACAAATTTAAAATTTCTTACCCTCTTGTTTGGATCGGAAGTCATTTATGTGCTTGTAATTTTGAATTATCTATTGATTTAAGTTAATTATGTTTGATTTGTAAATGTCTTGATGGAGCTTGGTTAGTTCATATTCCTTGCAGAGATTGATATATTCTTGAATGTTTGGTGGCACCAAGTTTAGTAATTATGGAGTCTAAGGATGACATAGTCACTTTTTTCTAAGAACTTGTGCACTCATGCTCATGATTTCAAGATCATGCCCCCCCCCCTCTCTTTTTTTTTTCTTTTTTTTTTGAGGGAGGTTTTTGGCGGTAGAGAAGACTTATATCTTTAATAAAAGATAAATTATTGCCAATAAAAACGGAGGAAATGTGGGGTAAGATTTCTTTGTGGGGTTTAATATTTGTGTTGTGAGTTATGTTATCAATACCATGGCACTTGGGAAATTTGCCTTCTAACTTTCTCTTTTCCTTCGGTGTAATCTCACTTCTTTGTTTTTATTTTGATGTGCTATAGTTGTTTGCTTAATGACACTGCTCGTGACAGCTAGTCATGCTCCGTTTTTCTTATTTTAGAAGGGCTGAAATTATCATTCTCATTCTGGATTGCTTTTCCCATGATTATTAGAACATACTCTGAAACAATGTTTAATGGAAGCGTCTGTATGCAGTATAAACTAGCTCGTAAACATAATTTTACAGCTGTACTCAAGTCCCTAGTGAAACAAGTGTTGTGCCATTCCTCTATGTCTGTGGATACTATTTACGCGACCAGAATTAGGAAGGGATCTTTAAAATAATTCTGAATTAGAAATAAAAGGTGGCCACACTTTCAGCAGAATGAATTAGTTGTACGACATGAATAAGATTGAACATCATCCGGGATTGTGTGTGAATGCTTACAATGTACTCACCATTCTACACCTGCGTGTGTTTAGTGGTTAAGTGTCATATGGCTATGATTCATGAAACCAAAGTTGAAATTTTTCTGAGCAATGTCGTCATATGTCATGCAGGGAAGCCTGCTGAAATTCACTATGGTACTGGAGCTATATCAGGATTCTTTAGCAAAGACAATGTCAACGTTGGTGACGTAGTCATCAAGCACCAGGTACATGTACTTATTCCTTCTCTGATTTATCCGGTATTAAGGTAGGATTTGTTGATACTCACATTTTTGCTCTGATCAGGAATTTATTGAGGCAACTAGAGAGCCTAGTGTCACATTTATGGTGGCTAAGTTTGATGGTATCCTGGGGCTTGGATTTCAAGAGATCGCAGTTGGAAATGCTGTTCCAGTGTGGTATGTCTGTACCCCCGAGTGTTTCCTATTTAACCAAAGATGCATAATTCATCTTCTGTTTAACTTTTTCGTAAATGACATTGGAAATTTACTAGATATGCTCAAAAAACGAGTCTGGAAGAACGGTGGTTTTAGCATGCATTGCTTAAACATGTGAACATTCTACATTTGATGTGAGGTTGCTGCATTTGTTACAGGTACGACATGGTTAAACAGGGTCTGATTAAGGAGCCTGTGTTTTCATTTTGGCTCAACCGAAATGCAGGTGAAGAAGAAGGGGGTGAAATTGTGTTTGGTGGGGTCGATCCAAACCACTACAAGGGTAAACACACTTATGTTCCAGTGACGCAGAAAGGCTATTGGCAGGTTGGTCATCCGGGCATTTTACTCTGCTAGCTACATGCTTGAGAGTTCCATTCATCATCTCACTGTCTCTTTTTATTGTCTTCCTGATAGTTCGACATGGGCGATGTTCTCATCGATGGTAAACCCACTGGTATGCTTTCTATTGGTGCCTTGTGTTTCTCACTAGAAAAGGGATGAAGGCTACAAAAGCCATACATTTTATTAAAACAGCTATTTTTCTGGTGAAAGTAAGGTTTCCCTGCTATAATATGGTCTGACATTACGCTGGTGTTAATCAGGTTACTGTGGTGGTGGCTGTTCTGCAATTGCAGATTCTGGAACTTCTCTGTTAGCTGGTCCAACGGTACGTATGTGTGCTGCTGATTTTGGTCACCAACTTAAATTTGTACTTCCTGAAATAGTTATAACATACATTCTAATTGTCGCTTGTTTGATTCTTTTGTGAAGATGTCTGCTGTGCCATAATTTTATCTGCATATTAAACTTTTGTATTTCAGTGGTATAAAACTATATATCATGATTCCTGTTCTGCTATGATTGAAATTAGAGCTTTGTTCCAGCGAGGAAGGTTTTTTCATGGATGAATGACTTTGTCGGTATTTTGAATTGTGTTATATGAGAAGCAGCATATATTGAATTTGTCCGGTGTCCTGCGACATCCTGTGGTTCTACAATTGCACACATATATATATATATATATATATCTAATATTATAGTTGGAAGTTGATTTCTCAACTTATAAAAGCACAACAACTGACAACATTGATCCAATTTTCATGTGATTTGATCTAATGGTACAAATTTCATCCCAAAACAAATTTTCCCACTCAAAAATATTACATTTTTTGTGCGGCTCCCAATGTTGGACAACCCAACTAGCAAACTTTCCAATGTTGGACAATCCCACTATTCCACTCTTACCTCTCCTCTCTTTCCTACCACTGTTTTATTTTCTCTGTTCCTTTTAATTTTAAATTAAATGACTAAAGAAATGGAAAAAAATAAATTATATTTTAAAAAGCTCGATTTTTGGTATTGCAAAGTGTCTTTAGCCGCGGGGCTATTGCTAGTAAATATATGGTTTAATTTTATCACATGTGTTGATGTTTGTGTGGATTTCTGTCGCATCAGAAGTGGTGCTTGGTATTCCCACTAGCTCTGTTGACCTTGGGAGACGTGGTAATGATCGATTTGTGTTATATAATAGGCTGTATACCTGTTTACAATTCCGAGTAGCTATTGTTGCTCAAAACATGAAAAAGTTAATAGCTACAATATGATCATGGTGCTGTTATTTTTGTTTTCATAGTCAACTTGTCCTTCCCTCCCTCCTCCCCCCTCCTGCTCTGTCCCTTCCTCTTCCTCTCCTCTTTGCAGACTGTGATCACCATGATAAATCATGCAATTGGAGCTTCTGGAGTTGTTAGCCAGCAATGCAAGAACGTAGTTGAACAATATGGGCAGACAATTATGGATTTGCTTTCAGCAGAGGTAAAGACGATCACCGTATTCTAATCCTACCCCTGTTCAACTTTTCACCTCTCAAATGCATTAAGTGCAATGTTGTATTACATTTCTGAGACTTATAAACGCACAGTAAAGAGATATTTTTGTTGAACTCTATTTAATAGGCTCAACCAAAGAAGATATGCTCCCAAATTGGATTATGCACCTTTGATGGAACTCGTGGTGTGAGGTCAGGATCAAAAGCTTATACGTAGCCATTTTTCCTTATTGTTAATATTGTCAACATAAAAAATTATATCCTGGTAAGTTTGTCTTAGGTTAATATTTGATACTGAATATGTTCCTTGTAGTATGGGCATTGAGAGTGCAGTGGATGAGAAAGGTGGAAGATCAGCTGGGCGAAGCGATGCCATGTGCAATGCTTGTGAAATGACGGTTGTCTGGATGCAAAACCAGATCAGACAAAATCAGACACAGGAGGGTATTCTGAAATATGTCAATGAGGTGATTACTAACTAGTGCTAAAGTTCTCTTCCCCCCCCCCCTTTGAATTTTGGATCTTAAAGTTCAGGAGGTTTTTCTTTCATGTTGACTTAGATCTGTGCCTGAATTGCAGCTTTGCGATCGACTGCCAAGCCCCATGGGAGAATCAGCTGTTGATTGTGCAAAACTTTCTTCCATGCCTAGTGTCTCCTTTATAATTGGTGGTAAAAAGTTTCATCTCTCCCCAGAAGAGGTAGGATTCTGAACTTCTCTCATTGATTTTGCGATTGTCGTCTTTCTTGTTTGTTTGTATTATTCATAATCTTGATTATTGAAGGTTTTGGGGTTGATTGAAATCTTTTAGAACATCTAATTAAATTTTCTCTGGCTCGGGCAATCTTTCTGTGCTATATCGAATGGGGACTAGCATGTATGAATCCCTAAGGTTGCCTTTTTTGTTTGGGGGGTGGGGGAGACATGAACTCAAGAGCTATAGATTTTGAATTGACCTCTTGGGCTTAATTATATTTTCTTGTTATGCAGCATCTTCTGAGTTTCTTTTTCGATGACTGTCTTCTGTAGTTTTGGGGCTCCCCGTCTCCTTTTACTCACTGTTCTTTATAATGTGCCCTAAATAAGACTACAGTTTTGATATTGTTCTACTAGATTGTTGTTTTTGTTTTTGTAAAAGAGTATCTCCCTGATGTCAGGTTCCATATTTTGCAAGCTAAGGAAGTTTTTTACATTAATTGTTTTGTCTACATCAGTCACATGTGGCGGATAAACTATAGCATTTGGTGTTCTTGAATGCCTTTGATCATATTCTCATCTGATGATCGATTATGTGCTCGGTTGTGGTGTATGGTTTAATACAAAATCACTTTTATTCTCACATTAGTACTACTACCGAGGTTCTTTGACTTCTCCATGTGCACTGTAGGAATTTGGGGAATGACGAAGTGTTTTATTATGACACATGAACCTCTATATCTTTGCTAATTCTGGAGCTTCAATGGTTCAACGTTTCTTGCAGCTTTTTCCTAAATCCATATTTTTCCTTGTTTATTATTACATACAAATTGAGAGTGCGAGGGCGGAACGCCTAGTAATCTGGAAGAGAATTGAGCTTACCAACACAAATAGTTTACCTACTACTCCCCATTATCTTCATCTCTTTTACTTGGTCTGATTCCTCAATAGGCATGAATGTATTATTTGATACTTCCACAGCATCTGTTGCCTAGCTTGGGGAGGTAATAGCAATATATATGATTGCACTAAGATTGGTTTCTTCTTGATGTGATCAGTACATACTCAAGGTGGGTGAGGGTGCTGCTGCACAGTGCATTAGCGGCTTTACTGCTATTGATATTCCTCCTCCTCGTGGACCTCTCTGGTACGCATAACAAATTTTCCGGCTATTCCACATTGTTTTCCTGTCATCCTCATCGATGGTGATGTTAAATCTTTGTAATGGCAACCATGCAATGCAGGATCTTGGGAGATGTGTTTATGGGTCGGTACCATACTGTATTTGATGGTGGCAATCTGAGAGTTGGATTTGCAGAAGCCGCATAAATGGGTCCTGCACGTAGGGCCTTGGGACCACCTGTTCATGCTTTTCTTATGCTCTGCTTGTTCGGAAAATGTTAAAGAAACCTAATGTGAAATCTGAACGTGGGGTGGTGTTTACCATAAACATTGGTTGTGAATAGTCAGGTGTGTTCTCTCGTTACCAATATAAGAAATGTTAGCAACAGTTAAGAGTATTGGCTTTATGGAAGTTGTTATTACTAATACTTCGTGCGAATGGTGGCAAAAAGTGTAGTTTTCTCCCCTTTTATTTAGTGGTGTAGTTGATAAGTCATTAGAGGAAGGACTTAGTCTCCATCCTAAAAAACACAAAATTGTTTATATCTGGAGACTAGGAGAAAAAAAAAATTATTTATGTAAGATTTCATCTCTGAAAATACAACTCGACGTTATTAAAACTCTTGCAAGTGGTCTAGTGGTTGAGTTTGATTTTTGATTTAAAGTTTAATTTCTTTTCACTCTTTTTAAGGGTTAGCTTTTTTAGAATGGAAATCTTTAAGAATTATTGATAGTGCGTATGTATCGAATACTAAAAAAAAAAATTGTTAAAACCCTACAAAGAGGAACTAGAGTTTATCTTTGAGATCGCTCTAAATTGATCTCATCTCAACACGAACACAGAATCTAACAACAAACGTGGAAGACAATTCGATGAATTTCATGGTCTTCTGTTATATATACCTCAACGTCAAAATTTGGATGCAATGTGGGTTATAAAGATATCCGAATTTATGTTGTCTCTCTTGGCCTCTCTCAAAATGTGAGTAGTGAATTGATGTTGATATAGAGAGGTTAAACATCTTATTTCTCTTAGCCTCTCTAAAAACGTGAGCAATGAATTGATGTTGATTTAGAGAGGCTAAACATCTATATATAGGTTACGACAGAAATTCTAATGAAAAATATGGATCGGGCTTCCAATTGGTCTAGAATTCCTATGTTTAATCCAGAACAAACATTCTATAGTCCATTAATAATAAGTCAATCCACTAAAAACTTATTATCGATCTTCTGAGTTTTATCTCAAAATTATGTTTTGAACTCCTTATTATTATATGCTTAAAATTTTCTCATGTTTAAGATTATAAATGTCCATCAATTAAATAAATTAATGATAATTATATTTAATTGACTTCTTTTATTCCTTGAGACCTTACCACTCAACTTATTTGTCATATCGGATAATTAAATTCACTTATGAGGTTTGACATAGACAAAACTTATGAGCTTCTTCAAAAGGACATCATCAATCTATTTAAATATCAGGACATGGTTTCTTTTAATAATTAATTTTCACTATATAAATAATATCGTTTTCCAATTCACCATAGCTTATTGACTCAATATGAGTCTCTCTCTTTCATAAATTAAAGTGACAAACATTATATGCACGTGACAATTAAATATCTCATGATTAAAAGTATAAACAATCATAATAATCATGAGGTATTTATTATCTTATTGAGTAAAAGATAATAACTTCAACATGAATCTGTTCAATACACAAAGTGTACTAGTGTAATAATTCAAGATATCAAACAATATTCTATAGTCAAGACATACTATATCAGAATATTATACTACAATTATACTGATGATGTGTCCAATTCTGTTCAGGATTATGAACCAATATTCATATTATGCAAAGATTCGATAATCTAGTCTACTGCGTCTAAGCTAAACTCTACACCAGATTATATACAATGTAAAACATAAGACATACATGCATACCATATATCAAATATAATGCAAATATTTTACCGACATAGATTCTCAATAAAATGAAAAAACAAACAAACTCTTATTAATTAATACAACAAGTTTCACTACAAAAGGTAAGCTTTTAGTCTATAACTTTATCAGTTACCCACCCTTATCTCTATGCCATTAGATTATAATTTGGCATATTTAAGTTATAATTTGATTTAATAGAATCCAAACTTTCAATATCAAAAATTTTCTTTTGGGTGATCCCCTTTCTAGGTCATATAAGTTTTTACCTAATAGATAATATGAGATTGAAATAGTTGATGATGCACAAAATAAGTTAAGTACAATCAAATCAGTCGAGTGTGTAGTGTAAAACAATTAATCAAGTAGTTAATAATAAAAAAACAAAAATTGGGTGGTTGGATCTAAGTGACCTAATTATTGAAAGCGACAATGATAGTTGGAGAACTCTATTAATGAGAGTATAAGGTAGAGAGAGAGAAAAAAAAACAAGAGTACGTTAAAAGTGATGTGTGTGAGATCCCTTATGTGTAGATAAGTTTATAATTTATAGGCACAAAATCTTAACTGAGACAGTGACGTGAAGGTTAAATTATTAATTTACCAAGGAAGATAACTATAATTGGGGATAGACACTATCTTGGAGTAATGGTTATTCCGATAATTGTTCTTCCACGTGCGTAGACTCTTCATGGACTCTTGAGTTTTGGATTGGACTGAAGTCATAAGTTAAACTTGATTTGCCTTTTGATAATTTAGACTCAATACATGAACTGGACCCAAGCCTTATCTGAATCTAGACTTGTCAATACTCTCCATTATATTTTCTCTCAATTTCACTAAATTATGGATCATCCACCTGTATGAATGTTGGACTCACTAGTAAATGTATGTCTCATGTGTATTAATGGTAAAAAATTTATCATAGAGTGAAAGTGAGAGAAAATTTAATAGAGAAAATAATATATGTGTGCAAATTTGTGTAAGTTCTCAAAATCGTAACTCTTTAATGGCCAAATTGTTTTAGAGTTGAATTGCCTTCCAATAAACTCACCTTTACATGCCCGTTGATATAATTTATTATGATGGCTAATAGGATTGTAAGCTTCCTACTATGATGAATACGACTCCATGGAGATTGTATTGATGCAAATTGACCTTTTCCAAGTCACCCTCTTTGAAACTTGCCACAATCTAGTTTTTTTTTTTTATGATTATTGTTTACAATAAAAAGGATTTAAATCTTGATGCTCACTCTTTAGTAGTAATTATATTATTATGTTATGTACGGATTTGCAATGCTTTTTTAAGTATTTTTTATTTTTTTAACTATCTATAATATAAAACAGATTATGCTTCAATAAACTCATTCGACGGTGTCAAATAGATTCATCCAACGGCTACCAACATCTCTCTTAAAATCATTCACATTGATTTATGTTACATCATATCTTCAGACACGGGTTACTCCAACTTTCTTATATAATATTACTCGTAATAACCTGTACCTATTGACACTTTGCAATTTAAAGTAACTCATCAATTTGAAATAATTTTTTTTTTCATTTGTTTTAATTAAAAAAATTGAAATTAATTTAATCTCCACTATTTTTTCAAAAATTTCAATAAAGTTTCTTCTAAAAACAAGACTTACAATCATAAATAACAATCATCATAATACACATTCACAATTCAATATCATTTCTCCTAAAATCAACATTTCATACCTAACCACTAGAACAACCATCAATATTTCATTCCCAAACATGTCACATGCCACATTTTCGGACATCTATAAAAGAAGCTTGAAAACCACAACATACTGCAGCAAAATATAAAATATATTGCATAAAAACTCATCCAAATCAAATAAAGGTTGTCAATTCAAACCCACAAAAAATAAATAAATAGAGAGACATGAAATCCATGTCAAATAGATACATGAAAAATGGAGATATAAAGGGGCTAATAGATTTTCAACATACAATAGAAAGCTCACGTGTTTGCCTTTCGCAATTTCTATCAAACTAAACTCCCAATAGACAACCTCAAATCCACATAAGTACCTATAAAAAAATAAAAAATAAAATCTAATAATCGCCAATCATATGGCATGTCTTAAAAAATTCATACATGCTTTAAATTTTTTTTCTTTATCTGAACATAAACCCATAAAAACAAAACTTTAAGACAACAAATCAATAATCTAAAATCAACATTCCAAAACCAACCATCAACATCCTATAGCCAAACATACCACATGCCACATTTTTTTAAACTACTTTGTCATGTCTAGTTCAATTAAAAAAATATATCTTTTTTATGTAGGGTTCACTTTTTGCAAATTTGTTTTCAATTTTTTTTTCCTTTGTTTGGAGTTAATCAAAAAATGAGTGATTGTTCACATTTCTATATGTAATGTATATAATTTATTACAAGAAAGACTAGTTTTTGCATTGGCAAGTTATCGACACAAATAGTTGGCTCGTCGACGCAAAAAGTTTTGTGTCCACAATTGCACTATTTGAGTCAACAAAGGGTTTTGGTTGACAACTGGTTTTTGTCCTAGGTACTTTTAGCTGTTTGTTGTTGTTTTTTTTTAATGTAGTTTGATGTATCTTTGTTTCTTGAGAGACAAAAAAAAAAAAAAAAGTCATCTACGGGTCAACAAAAGTAAGAGACTCAAAAAGGCCATGCAAAAAATTAAAAACTATTAGTGTTGAGCTAAAAATCCGAGGCCAAATATTTCCTTAAGATTTTTTTTTTTGTCATTATTTTGAACTATTACGAGGGAGGGGACGGTGAAGTTTGAACCCGCAATCAACCGGTCCAATGACGGGCTGCGGGTCCACCACTGATCCTCTTTCCATAAGATGTTCAAATGCCCCATAATTGCATTGGATGACTCAGTTAACAGTTTATACACAGATTTGTAGACATATTTGAGTTACTACTACAGCATATGCATCTATTCACTTTAATCAGAACAGCTTGCTTGCAAACTCTTCGCCCATCTCTCCTTTTCTTGCTGATGAGGCTGCAAGTTCCCTTAGCTCTGAGAGGCTCCTCCCCAACTGCAAAGCCACCTTCATTTCAAACAATTCCCCATTCTCTCTCCTACCCAATTCACTTTCGTTTAGATTTGACTCTATAGACTCCTCCATGAGCTTTAAGAAACCAGCATTGCTTCTGTACATCTCAAACACCATCCCCACTTGCCCTCCATGCTCAACTGTGTTCACTATGCTAGCCAAAGCTCCGGCAACAACTCCAAGCCCAGCGGCCCAAGAACCATGAAAAGGAGATCCTATAAAAGCAGTCCCAACTGCTGCTAGACCTGTTAGTAATGGACCAGTTATGGCCAGTATTTGGTTCAGTTTCAAGGCTTTTCCACCCAACCTCAAATAGTCTGCTTTGTCTTTCCTCTTCAAAACCCCAACTACTTCTCTCATTTCCTCTTCCAATCCTCTATTCCAACCGTTGCAATCAAGTTTAACTCCTAACTCTTTCGAATTAGCCGTTCTTCGTCGTGGTTGAGGCCACCACACTGCAGGCTCCACCATAGATGGAAATCTTTCGAGCATAACGCCAAGCAGAGGAAGAGGGTAGGCCCTGTCAACAGCTAAAACTTTCTCCATTGCTTCGTTCACATCACTAACAGTAGGATTACCACAGGAAATAATTGTTTCAATTTCTCCATGAATCTGCTTAAGCAACCTTGCAGCGTTACGCTGTTCTTCAGCAAGTTGGGATGGTTGAATTTTGTTCATAATAATCAACATTCCAGTGGCTGTCAAGTACATTAGAGTCGAAGCCAGCTTGAGTGACAATATGGGGGACCTGAGTCCCCCGACTGCACTTGTAGCTGCAATTCCGGCAATGGTTGCAGCAGAGAGAGTGATTGTATTGATTGATGTTAAAAACAGGCAGTTCCAGTTATTTCTCTGTTCTCCAATGTTCCTGTGCATCTCCACTCTATCCGCAACGGCCTCCATTATCGCATATACTTTTTTGATCACCTTGGGGTCAGAATCATTGGCTTCAGGTTCAGGCCTAGTGGTAGTAGTATTAATCTCAGCTGACGAAGTTGGAGTGTTCCTTATGGTTGTCACGGTAATGCTTCTCAGCTCCATTTCCTCCGCCAAACCACCAGTTGAGAGCTTTGGAATCGGGAGGTGGAGAGTACTCGTCTGGAGTCTTGGTGGTTTGATAGTAGCTGCAATGGTCCCTCTATGGCAACGAGAGGAAAGAGAACCAGAAGAAGCAAACAAAAGGCTTGAAGCTTGAAGTGCAGCCATGTCCACGTCTATAAATTGATGATCTTTCTTATCTCCTGATCGAGCTTGTGTAAGTAGATGTTGCCTGATAGGATTGATAGTAAAACAGTGTGTGGGAAGGAATAAGGGCCTTTCTCAACTCGAAAATTGGGTTGATTCTACGCCGGGTCGAGGGTTTGAAAACACTTCCCTGGTGTCGGATTAAAAAAAACAAGCAAGAGATTGCCGGGTCTCCTTTGATCTTGGAACCAAAGTAGAAATCTTTTGAATGATGAAGGCTTTGAAGAGAGTGTAAGTTGTGTTGGAGGTCTTACATGATAGGATACACATATATATAGGAGGAAGGTGGCATAGAAAAGTTTGAAAAATTCCGTGGCTTAGACTATTTCCTTTTTTTTGTTGTGTGCGCACCTCGATTAATCTCTTTTTGCTCTGGTTAAAAATAGACTATACACGCCAAAATTTGAAGTATTCATTAGGAATAAATTCTTTATGGTCTAGTTTAAGGGATTGTCAAAATTCAAACTTAGAACGTCTAAATTTAAAATTTGTCCCTATTATCACTTGAGCTAGCTTACGGATAATATTATTTCTAACTTGTTTTTTAAGTTGTGATATCTTGTTCGTCGCTTTGGCTGCCTCACGGTCTTAACCGGGTCTTATAAGCTAAATTGACTTTCAACACAAAGCACCAAGTAAAATTTTGAAGCAGACAACGAGGCAGCGGATGGTTTATTTATTAAATCACTAGTCCTATTAACAGTTAGCACTATTTAAATCTAATTTGTTGATTTATTCTATCATAATCATTAGAGATTATAATGAATTTCAGTTTGGGCTGTCCATTCGAAGTCCAAAATACCCGATGGACACCCTGACTACATAACAACCTAAGTGGCCCATTCGCAGCGTATCCATTTTGTCATAAGAGTGGGCATCAACTCAAGGAAGGAAGTCAAATGATTTCCAGATTAGTATATTCATGTTCGGTCATCTCACGCTCGGTGGAGTAAACTAGTTCGAAAACTAGGAACTCAGTAAAAGATAGATCCCAAGCTACTCCCATCACGCCATGTAACGAACAAATATTCCTTGGTAAAAGGAATATGTGTACACGTACCATTTTGAAGATTGTAGGCACAACGTGCGTTAGGATGATATACATCGTTACAAGATATAGGAAGAAGGGATCACAGAATCAGCCAAGAAAAAAAAATTTCACAAAAAACCTTAAATGACCACATATATAAATAGAAGATGAAAGAACTATATAAAGGGTCCTAGGATACTATTCTCAACAACCTTCGTAAGAAAAAGGTTGTCTAACATGCAGTAACCACTTTTTTCTTCGAGCAATACAAATTTTAAAGGACAAAATCCTCTATTACAGTAGACATAGTCTTAGAATTTTGGTTAAGGTGAACTACTTTTATTAACTTCCTTGTTAGTTTAAACATTCACGAAGTCCCACAGGGCCATACACAATCACTGTTCTGCGATTGAATATAGTAATTTTGAGCGCTATCAATTAGATTGATAGCTAATTTCGAAAAATACTTTACCTCGATATAAATATTATATTGACTATGAGTAATTAGCTTAACAAATAAAGTTCAAATGACATTGTTATTAAATTCACTTCATATAGTAATCAATAAGAGAATTAGTTTAGTACATTATTGGTTTAACCGTTGGATCAACTAGCCCGTACAATTAAAAGTATTGGAGTTAACAAATAAAAAGTAAATTATAAAAGTTACAATTTTATATTTAAGTGCATCAAATAACAACACCTATAAAAAGTATTGAACATTTCAATAATGCTTCAAATATAATTTATAAAGATAAACTTTTAACAGTAATGCTAGACTGACTCAAATTTGGAGCCCAAACGAAATGACAGTTGATTTGGACTTGTTTGATTTGTGTTATGTTATTTGAACTTCAATAAAAATTTGATCAGTGTAACATTACTCAACTTTTAAATCTTTCATTTATTTTTTTTTTTCACTGTGCAAAAGGGTTTCTCCACTGGGTCAACGGTCGGTGGTTCATTTTAGCTGGCGAGATTATTCGAGTGTTAAAAAAAGGGTCTAAATGTTAGTAATTGAACCCCATTCGATTAACTCCCCAAATTGGGTCGGATTTAATAATGCTAGACTGCTAGTCATTGGGTTGGGTTGACTTGACTTGACTCCCTGAACTGGGTCAAATTTAATAACGCTGATATTAACTAATAACTACTCGTTACCACCGATGCATTTAATATGTAAAATTAGAGTTTCGCAATGATAGTTTTATTAATTATAGTCTGTGGTCATTAAAATTCATTCCCGTTACCAAATAAGTAGTTTATCCCACGAAACATAGAGTTGGTAATAATGGGCAGTGACCCAAATTCAGCTGGACAAACAAACTCAATCCCTTCTCTCTTCTTCTCCTGATCCTGCTTATATCATGTTTTAAAGTCCATGGGTGTATATTACCCAAATTCAGTTGGAAATTGTATATTATCCGACGGTCTTAAATAAATTTATCCAACAGTTACCAATATCTCTCTTAAAATTATTCACATTACACATACCTTCAGACATGAGTTACCCCTAGTAATCTCATATATTAAAAAATCGTTTATAATTTGATAAAAACAAGTATAAACATTGAAATGAAATATGCATTCCCACCCCGACACTTGATTGCTGAAATGAGATAGGTGTTGTTATAACTTTTTAGAGGCAAGGGATCTCAATGTCATATCTAAAACCACTAGGTATATATCATGGGATGCCTTTGAAATTTACCCAAAACATAAGGTTACTCTTAATTTCATTTCGTTTACCAAGTCCATTTTCACCAATATGGAATAAAACATAGTGAGAAATAAAGTACAATCGGTTTTTTTTATCATTTTTTTTTAAATTTTTGACAAGGATTGATCTCGTGCCGTCCTAGTTGGGAATTTTGGAATGACCAACTAAGTTTGACCTAATTAGTTTGCAACGGTCTCATATGTTGTGGACTTTTGCATAGATTTGTGAAAATTAAAAAAAAAAAGTAGATAATTTTCCTAGTGCCTTTTCTTGGCAATGGTAAGTCTTATGTTGCAGTTGCACATTTTTATGGGGCATAAGGGATGAGCAGTGAGCTTAGCATTTGAATCAATCAACAAATAGATTTGTTCAATGCCTACACAATTACTTAATCTGCATACTTAGTGAAAATTCTGCAAGAGTCTTCAACTTTGATTTGAAATCTTTAGGTCTCATAAACTGAAATTCGATCGGCGATTGAATATCAAAATTTTTACATTTTAAGGTGTTGAAGAATGTTTCGAAATATTTTGTAATGTTTTGGTACATTTTCGAACAATAATTTTGAAACAAATTCTTAATTTTTTTTTTTGACATTTTGTTGTAATATTTTTGAAACATTTTCATTTTTATGATCACCAAAACTATGCACCGAAACCAACCATCAGTTGGGGATTTTTGACATATTGGAGCATCCTCCAATATTTTAAGAGCAATGCTACATGGACTTAAAAAATAAACTTAAAAATTAGATTTGATAATCTCAACCATTGATTTCACTGTGGGTCTCAGCATTTATTGAGACCCACTACCTATTCAATGATTGAGATTATCAAGTCTAATTTTTAAGTCCATATAACATTACTCAAATTTTAAACATTCTTATTTTACTACGGGGTTTGTGAGACCTAAGAATTTGAAATGAAAAGTTAGACCCAAAAAAAGATTTGAAATGGAAAGTTAGACAAGAATGGGTCAGAGAATGGACCGGGTCAACCCAATCACCTGGTCAATGTTTTGAAGCACCCTACTCTATCCCTCTTCTGTCATTAGATTTTGTTGCTATAAACAACTTCCCACTCCACGTGACTTGACCCAGTGAACTCTCATCCTTAAACCCTTCAATTTTCTCCTGCTCACAACAGAAATCAAAGAGAAAAAAAAAAAAGACAAACTAAAAACCAAAATACAAGCCCAACAATGTATGAACCATGTAGTTCACATTAGGAATATCAATTTTATTCATTATCATGAACTCGACATATCATAAACGTGAAAATACATAATCTATTAATATCAATAATAAACGCGAAAGACAAGCGTTTACAATTGAATAACTCATTTATCATTTAGAATATGAAATTCTTCTTCTAGAGGGAGAGGGAGAGGGAGAGGGAGAGGGTGGAAAGGAGGCTTGAACCCTTAACCGCAAGAAGGCAAAACCTTCACAAGATAACAAGTATCATAGAATATGAAATTCAAACTACATATGTTTACATAGTTTGACAAAGTTGCAGTATATACTTACCAATAAAAAAACAGACAAATTTTAGTATATATTCATAGGAACATCTATTCTTTATTTGGAAATATTTTTGATCCTAAATGATTTTGGACCCTCAGATTAGTGGGTTCTGTTAAAAATAATTAACGAAACTCATTGATGCAAGGGTGTCCAAACTTATTTGGAATCCTTAGCATTACTCTTCTTTATTATATTAGAATCTCAATAGAATTAAAATTTATGTACTTGATAGATAAAAGATTCTAACCCTAGTATATTAGCCAACAAGTTTTGATAATTGACATGGTCTAATAACGCTATTATAATTATAATTGTACAACTTTTTCAGCAAATCATATCACCTTCTACACGACACGGTATCAACTCAATTCTTTAAGTTCCAATAAAATTGACTACCCACCTAAACATTTGTGTAGTAATTAAGTTGAATATTCTAGATGCCGGTTGTAATCAAGCAAAGAATGGTCTGGTCTGGATCGGCAGTTTTGATCAGCCGAACAATTTGACTTTTGATGTAATTTATTACTACTCTCACAGAAATCAGCGTTTTAATACTGGGTAAAATAGATTTTTAGTTTGTAAAGCATGTGTTTAGTGTCTATTTGGTCATTAATATTTCTAATTTACGTCTACGTGTTCTAATTTCAATTCAAATGTCGGTCGAAAAATTGTAACGGTTCTGGTCACACATCAATCAAGTGATTCCTAATTTTGTGTTTATTTGGTTTCTAAAATTTCTAATTTGTGTCTATTTGGTCTCTAAAATGCTTAATTTGTTTCTATTTGGTCCCCAACGTCAAATAACTTCATTAATCCACACCAACATCTCACTTCCATCTCCCGTACCTATCTTTTTCGTATTTTCTCTCTGTTCACTTTAATTTTAAATCACGTAATTAAAAAATTTATTATTTTAAAATATAAATATTATATAATTAATGTTCGATTTTTAATATCGCAGAGCTTACCTGAGTTCGAGTTCTATAAACTCCTCTCACATAAATGATCGATTCATCTTTTCTAAGGTGTCTATGGGCCGGGTTGGGCTAGGCCCGTGAAATTTTTTTCGGCCCGAACTTAGGTAGTGCAAGTCCAAACCCTTACTCAAATGAGTTATCGGGTGGCCAGGTCGAGCTTTGGGTAGGGGTAGGCTACTCGTGAGCTTATTAGGCGGGCTTGCTTGCGGGCTTTTTTATATACATATTTAATTAAAAATAATGAATATTTTTGTAATTTAATATTTGTGTAAATTATATTTTTGAATCAAAAGTAAAATTAAAATGGATAAAAATAAAATAATGAACTACATCCAATAGAATAAATAAATCTTAACTATGTTGACACCTACTAACTTATCTATCATTTGAATTATTCTATCATTTAAAACTAATATATGCTTAATACTTAGAAAAGAAAATAATACATTATTTATAAAATCTAAACTTTTAAGAATTCAAATTTCGATATTGAAAGATTTATTTCAAAATTTCAAATTTAATAGTTTAAAATTATAATTTTTTTTCAAAGGAAGATTGGGGGTGAGCTAGGCTTGACGGGGCAGGCTCTTGGGCCGGGCTTCAGGCCAGATAATGGGTTTGGGGGCAAATCCAAGTACTCTTTTTAAGAATATTGGGCTCAGACGGGCCAACCATCGGACTTCTAGCTTATTTTTTTGGGCCAGGTAACAGTACCCAGGATAACCCAGTCCATGGACACCCCTAATCTTTCCCCTGTAGAAAAACAAAACCAAAAGCAAATCCAACACACGCCAAAGTCTTCTTAACTATCTCATCTCCTTCAAACATGTCTATTTCTCTTTCTCATTTATCAAGATTACTTCAAAATCTTGACGTATTTATATGTACATTCAATTTCTTAGCTTCACCGAAGTGTGTGTGAGTGTGCATGTGTGCGTAATGTGGGTGTATATATATTGTGTTTTTCTGTTTAATCTTCCCTCCAAGTCGTCTCAAGAATCTCATCACCTTCAAAAGGGTCTAATCTCTTTCTTATTTATGCAGATTTCTTCAAAATCTAATGTATTTCTACGCACATTCAATGTGTTCTGATTTATTAATCGAATTACTGAGATCTTCAATTTCATAGCTTAATGAACATATGTGTGTATGTCTGTACATGTAATGTGTTTTGCTATTTAATGTTCAAATTTGTTAGGAAAAGAGCTAACTTTAGGAATGATGTGGGCAATTATACGGCAGTAAATCGCCTCTGGTGGCTCCTATGCTTCGGAAGTATTATGAACTACATATGCATATGCATACTTTGTGATTAATATAGTTGTATCTTTTGGTTGGCTGATATTTTAAATTTATGCTGACATTTAAGCGTCAGTGCTATTTTTTTTTTTATTTCCCTCAATTCTGATCAATGTGTGCTCTGGTTACCACTGTGAATGAGGTAGTTTTCTATATACATTTATCGTATGTACAGATATAAAACAAAATGTCCCAAGTACATAAATGGCAGCAGCATCCAAACCCCACAGGTCTATCCTTTCACAACAATGACAGTTAGGGAGTTTTTCAAGAGGAAAGGGCAAAGGCAGCGGAGGGCAAAGGCAATGGAAAACATCGTGTTGAGATAACAATCAGAAGAGCTTGCATGATCAAAGACTCAAAGTTGATACAGCCTTTTAGGAAGAGCTTATGGTGTGTTGGAGGAGCTAAATATCACTAGAAGCTTAGGTATATAGTCTCTAAGAAAGTTCAGCTAACACCACACACCTAGATAGAAGTTCTAGCCAACATTTTCAGGTTAGAGGACTGCAATGTCAGTGTCATGTTAGAAGTGATCAATGCAAAATCTTTCAATCAATCCTTCAAGAAAGGATTCGGCAAGCCAACTCAATGGTGTAAGAGTGAGTAATGCTTAAAGACAGTCAAAAGAAGTAATGGAAAAGCGCCATGAGTAGCTCTGACTAAGGCAATTCTAAAAGACAATTCTCCTATCTCGTGTCTTTTGCAAGAGCCCCTTCGTCAGCACAAGATCACAAGTAGTGCAAAATTAAGTAGGTGAAACCAAACAAAAATCATATTACCAACTAATTACAAATAACGTGACATGCTGGAAAGTTGTAATCAATGTCTGTGAATGAATTCATGATTAGTAGCAGGATCCAAGTAGTGAGACAAGGCTTTTTGAATGGTTGAAATGAGTGAATGAAACAATGTATATTATGGCAAAGTAGTCTTTCTTTCAAGCATCAACTGAGTACTCATACATAAAACTTATAAAGGCATCAAAACCTAGTTGATTTTTAAAAGAGGCAAACTAGCAAAACTGAACTTCACATGTCTCTGAACCAAAAGAAAACTTGATAATTTTCTCAAGAAATGGCTTCTCTTTACCATATAAAAAAGAAGAAAGGTCAATTGTCATCTTACTCAACACTTTTGAGTTCTTCAGCAAATACCTTACTAGAAGCAGGTCATCATTCTTTCCCTTGAATTCACCAACTTAGATTACTTTCAAATGTGATAACAAACAACTAGGCAATACCTGTGACTGCATCCAATAAAACTCCTTATTGAAGTAATTTTCGTCACTCGAGCCATGATCTTCTTCCACTTCCAAAGGATATGTCCTTTTCTGGCCCCCTAGAACAAAAGAAAACACTAGTTAAAAGGTCGCAAATTAAGAATTATTCTACTACAGATTGTGTCCAATTCTATGCTCACCACCACACACACATCCAAAAATTCCAGTTTAGGCATTCTTTGAAGTGCTTCTGGCAGCTTCGACAAATCATCACAACTCAACAACACCAAATGAGTCACATGGCAAAAGGTAAAAACTCTGAAGAACTCAGGTACCCAATCGGCCTCCCCAAAAAAGTCTGGCCCAACATCAATTTCTGCACTGGTTAGAGAAGATGGTTCATCCTTTATCAAGTAACATGCCTCACAACCATCTTCAATATCAAGGTACTCGAGAATAGTTGCATCTATCAAAACCTTAACATTGTTAAGATATGGAGAATTTTTATCCTTATTCGCAAACAAAAACGTATGTAACTTCCTCAATTTAGGGGCACATATATCGATCAGTATTTCCATATCCTGATCTGAGAAGGAAAATACGCGCATACTCAAATTCTCTAACATAGGAAACCCAGAAAAAAACCTCTGATTTAGGCTATTGCCCAGATAAAAAAAAAACGACATTTTCAATGTACTAAGATTCGGAAGATAAACAGAGCTCGGAAAATCCGTAAAAAGTAGCTCATCGAGTTGTAATTCAACAAGTGACATGCAAGTAAATAGACTTGAAGGCAAGTTAAGAAACCCAACACCTATCAAACAAATGTCGACTATAAGCTGTTCAACATGCCGTTTAGTTACAGCACATATCCATGAATTAAGACGGTTCAAACTGAGAGACCCATGAAATCCCCACCATCCCCGCTTATGAGTGAGACTGAACTTTTGAATAGTCGGCGAATCGCGAAGGAGGAGTACTCTATCGACGAATTCCATGAACTTACGGAGACATCGGATTCTTTGAGTGAGAAGATGAGATTGGGGACAGAGGCCCAAAGATTCTCCCATCTTTTCGAAACAACACTGGTTCTCATAACGTATTTCATCTCCAGAAAGGAGAAAATGTGAAGAAGAATGGAGTCTGGTAAATTGTTGATGCTCCTTCCTTCTTCATCATCTCCAATTTTCTTACTTTTCTGTTGTTTTCCATTCGTTTCTCTCATTTTTCGCTCTAGAGCCAAACAGAGAGATCAAGCGAGAGGTTAGAGGTTAGGGCTTTGACTTGCGAACGAATAATGTTACTTGTATCTAAAAATTAAACAATGCTACGTAATTTAAATTTACGATTTAAATTTGCATTTCAAATAAAAAAAAATTATTAGATTAGTGGATTTCATTTAAAAAAATTGATAGAACCTACTTATTCAATGATCTCTTTCATTTGGGTTACAAATTTGGGTTAAATAAAATTTTTTCTAAAAATTTGATTTAATTCGTTGATATAATGATGTAATTTCATAAAAATTATTAGATCAACATCAAGTTTCAATGTTTAATAGGTTCTGTATTCAATTCAAATATCACATTAAATTATATCAGTAAATTAAGTCATAAAGATTTGTTTGGATGAATTTTTTGAGATGATTTGTATTGACTTTTTTAAATCCTTCAAAACTCAAATCCCTCTTTATAAAAATATAATTCAACATTGAATTCGGTTTATACTCACGTTTGGTATGCCACATATATTCAATAGGACCTACAAGTATATCATAATTATTATCAACTATTTATCTTATAAATAATTATTTTACTCTTGATCAATTTAATTCATACTCATATTAAGGGATATAAATATATTTTACATTCTTAACCATTTAACTCATCTTCTCAAACTCACATCCCACCCTAGATTTGACGAAACTCATTATCATGAGTTAATATTTGAGTCAATTACGGACCAGGTTTAAAAACTTAAAATTGAATTTTCAATCAAAATATAAAATTTATGGATCTATTGAACTATTTTTCTCAAATTCATCTTACCCAACCCCATACCTCTTACTAAACAGCCCAATAGCATTGCTCTTTGCGAACAGGAGGCGCCAAGTTGGGGATTTTGCGACTCATAAGGAAAAAGGAGCACATAAAGTTTGGATCCGATCGCGACTCCAAATTGACCCGATTGGGATCTGTTTTTTCTGATAGGTTTTGGTAAAATACCAAAAACACCCCTAAAAATACCAAAACACTATTTTGCGAAAACAATTAGGGGTGTGAACCGTGTTAAGTAAAGTGGATCATGTCGGGTTTAATCAAGTTTATGTGAAAAGTCATTCAACCCTTATTAAAATGGCTACACGACTCATTAAACTAGTTTAATAAACTTTTTTTTATTATTATAATAAAAAATTAATTAATAATTTTGATTAAATATATTATTCTGATTAAAAAAATATAAATAATTATTAATTTATTATTACATTAATTTTATTTAAACGAATAATAAACAAGTTAACATATTTTAACTGAACAGGTCTAACTGTTTACTACCCACACTCGTTAAGAGGAGCTCTATCACGGACGTGGCTGATGTTATTATGGATAATCCCAGTCGATGGAACACCCCTAGCCCATCTAATGTAATCTCCAGTGAGGAATTGAATGCGATCTAGGTCATTCCACTATCAATAAGTGGGGGTGAAGATAGAAGAATTTGGTGGCCAAATAGTAAGGGTGTGTTTACCGTAAGATCTAGTTATAGACTAGGCAATAAATTTGCTCAAGATCCACAGGAAGCTAGCTCCTCCGTCTCTGTCCATTCTAGTCTTTGGAGATGTATTTGGAACATGATGGTTGTGCCCAAGGTTAAACACTTAAGTTGGAAGGCATGTCACAATACCCTCGTCACACATCTGCAGATGGTCAAGGATGCCCATGATAGACTCGATGTTTTGGGGAAGACTGCCACGGAGGGATGGGTAATTTGGAAGGCAAGGAACCAGTTTATTTTCAACAGGGAAGAGGTTAATGCCTTCACCACAGTCATCAGAGCCCAAGGGATGTGGAATGATCTTATTATGTCTACTAACGAGGAGGGGTTGAAGGAACAGGAGGAACCACAGGCGAGTGTGGCGAGGAGACAAGAAGCAGAGGTTGAGTTTCTTATTTGCTGCGATGGAGCCTTCAAACCAAGGACTGATAATGCTGCTTGTGGCATGGTGGCTTGGAAGGAGAGGGACTCTTTTGTGTTTGGCAGTATAAAATCCTTCCCAGCACGTTCGAGTCTCCAGCTGAAGCTGAGGCTGTTAGACAAGCTTGCATTCTAGCAGAAGCTCAGCTGGCCACCAATGCAACAATTTTGAATAATTGTCTGAACATCATCAAGCTCAGCTCCAATGAAAATGTTTCCCCCGTGGGAAATCAATGCTATTGTTAGTGACATTAGACATTTTCTTAGATTACACAATCTTAACTTTTTACACAAGCCTAGAGCTTATAGCAAGGCTGCTCACTGGATGACAGTCGCTAAATTAAACAATTCACTCCCGTTGGATTGAATTGGCTCCCCCCCTAGCTTAAGGCTTTTCTTTTGACCGATTATAATCTCAATTTTCCTATTTAATGAAACGTGAATGATGTCTAGCTGTTCAAAAAAAAAAAAAAAAGACCTCAGTTAAACCCGTTTAACTCCATTATCGATTTGTTTCGGTTAATCATATGGTGTCGCATTTTGACAGACCTAGAAACAACATAAGTGGTGCTATTTTTATTTATAGTCGTGTATTATCTATTAGTATTGTTTATCTGGGTTCGTAAGTCATTGAGATAATTTGCACAATTCGATTCACAACACGAATGTATGGCATATTGCAATTCTATACACGTTAATGCATGCAATTAGATTTGCTGGAATTGATTTTTGTCTTCGGTAAATTGTTGAATTCCAACTTCAATTGTTTTTTCAAGAGAGAAGCAGAAATAGTTGATTTGAGTATTTCAAATTTGAAAGAAACTAGTTGGAAGAAGCAACTAGCTGTATAACCTAAGAAATCCTTCCTAGCTTCCTCCCTAGCTTTGTTCTTTTTTAGTTCAACCGAAAAAGTGTTCGAACCAGTTTACACGTATCTCGACTAATCTCTTCTCTTATCTGATCAAAGGTAAATCATCTACACTGAAACAAGGATATTCATGAACAATAAATCTTTCATTAACTAGCCTCAAGGAATTGACAAAATTCAAACTTATGTATAAATTTACCACTTGCCCCGACTTTGTTCTTGTGAATGTAATCTACTCATTGTGATGTACCAACTCAATATCTTGGTGCTAGATCAATAATTTTCTAAAACAAAGATGCGGCAAACCGTCTGTTTTTGCTATTTTTCTTCCCTGTGGCCATGCTTTTTTCAGACTTTTTTTCAGACGATTCCCCCACTTAAATCAGACGATTCTCCGCAAAAATTAGAAGGGTAAAGAAATGACAGAACATGCAGCAAAGATGTAATTAACTTAATGGACAAATGCATTATTAGTATATGGATCCAAGTAGAGAGACGAGGCTTTCTGAATGGTTGAGATGAATGATTCTAAGCTTTTACCATGTCAAAGCTACAAGTTTAGTACACTGGAGCACTAATAAGATGATATGCCAGTACGTGGAGCAATCCAAGTGAGTATTCCATATAAAGACCAAAGTGTATCCTATGAATGGAGAGACTTGTCATTCAGGACAAACAGTACAGTTATAATTAGACGCAATGGAGTAAAGACAAAACAAATCGAAAATTTACAAGTTTACTGAGAAAGTAATTCAATAAAGAAGATAAACTAGTTGTTCTTTCAAGTATCAATTAGATTATTCATACATAAGTCAAAAAGGCATCAAAACCAAGTTGATACGTATAAAAAAACAAATTAGGAAAATTGAACTTGACATGTCTTTGAACCCGTAGGAAATTTGAGAATTTTCTCATGAAATTTTTTCTTCTCGCCCGATAAATAACAGGGAAGACTAATTGTCATCTTACCCAACACTTTGGAGTTCTTCAGCAAATACTTCACCAGCTGCACATCATTCTTTCCCTCAAATGTATCAAATCTAACTACTCTCAAGTGTGTTACCAAGCAACTAGGCACTATCTCTGACTGCAGCCAGTTGAACTCCCCACTCAAATCATCATCGTCACTCAAGTCAATATCTTCAACTTCCGAACGATCTTCCTTTCCTGTCCACTATTAGGAAAAGAAAAAAAAACAAGATTAAAAATATGCAAACTAAGAACTACGCTACTAGAGATGGTGTTCGCATCTATACTCACGTTACACACATCCAAAGACTCAAGTATAGGCATTCTCTGAAGTGCTTCAGGCAACTTCAATAAATTATCATAACTCAACCCCAAATGCGTCAAATTGCGAAATGTAAACAGAGCATTACCGTCAACGCTGCCAAGAGCCTATATATAGAAATAAAAATATTAGTCAAACAAAGGTTCAAAATATGTTGGACAAAATATCAACAAGAACATTTACAAAGTTGATGCAAACTTACCCTCATAGTTGAACCAAATAACTCCATATGCTTAACCTGAGATACTCCTTTAAATGTCTCAAGCACACGACCGGCATCTAGGGAAAAGTCTGGCCCAACCTCAATCTGTGCTTTAACTAGAGAGGACGATTTGTTCTTTATCGAATACAGTGCATCACATATATCATCAATAAGAAGGTACTCCAGCATAGGTGAGTCTATCAAAACCTTGACATTATGGACATTGGGATAATAATCAGCCTTACCCGCAATCAAAAACATTCGAACTTCTCTCAATTTTGGGGCAAAGATATCAATTAATATATCCATATCCTCATCTGAAAACGAATGTACATGTATACTCAAATTCTCCAACCTGGGTAAGCCAGAAAAAAGTCTCTGATTTAGGCCATCTCCGAGACCAATCATAGAAAATTTTAGAGTCTTGAGATTTGGAAGATAAATAGAGCTCGGAAAATCTATAAAAACTTGGTCTGCGAGGCACAGTTCGACAAGCGATTTGCAAGTAAAGAGGCTTGAAGGAACGTTAAAAAGCTCATAATCTGCCAAATAAACATCGACTATATGATGTTCGACATTACATTTGGTTACAGTACATACCCATGAATTAATATGGTTCAAATTGAAAGGTCGCTCCCACCATTCCCGTCTATGAGCCAGGCTGAACTTTTGAATAGTTGTTGAATCGCGAAGAAGAAGCACTCTATCGACGAAATCCATGAACTTACGGAGAAGAGGTTCCGATCTTACATCAGATTTGGATAGAGAGAAAATGAGATTGGGGACAGAGGCCCAGAGATCCTTCCATCTCTTCGATACAACACTGGTTCTCATGACATATTTCATTTCCAGAAATGATAGAATGTGAAGAAGAAGAGAGTCTGGTAAACTGTTGATTCTGCTACCTTCTTGGTCAATTTCCATTTTGGTACTCTTCTCTTGTTTTCCTTCCGTTTCTCTCATGCGTTCTGCAGAACCAAACAGAGAGGTAAAGTGAGAGGAATTAGGCAGGCTGGTTGGTTTTGTTTTGCGAATTTCGCCAAAAAAAAAAAAAAGAGTATCATGTCAAGAGTTTGGATCCGAGGGCTACTTGAATTGACCCGATTGGGATTTGTTTTGCCCCAAAAACACCAAAATACTGTGGACGAGACGTCATTTATTGCAATCATTAAATTAATTATAAATTTTAAAGTTTAATGATACCCACTTTTAATTTAATAACAATAATTAATTAGATCTTCACATTAAATTTAAATACTATTTTCCAATACGAAAATACAAAAAGTAATATTTTTCTTTTGAGTTGTTAATTGCGGTGTTATTTTAATTCGAGTTATGCTGTGTCAAATTTTGACTAATCTATGCCCACTCATTAATAGTCAGTGTATAGTCTATTACTATAGTGTCCAATTGATGTTATGTATACCATACGTTTATCTAAATTTATGTCATATTTAATCAAGCTTATGTCAATTCATTTATTATGCGAGCCTGACAGAGCCTGACAGATTTGCCCATGTATCACTTGAAGAGTTCAAATGAAGACTAAATTTAAACACGTCGATTTCATGTCGTTTATAACGAGTTTGATCTTGCACAATACAATTTTGTGTATCGTCGATTTCCGTGCTAAGATGGCTTGTATTTGTAGTATTTCGTGGGTAGAAACCACATTTCTGTGACAGCTCCGTCATACGACTTTCAGCGAATCACACTATGAACTTTGGTGCAGGTGGGCATTCCTGTTCCATCTAAGACCAAAGTGTATCATACAAATGGAGAGACTTAACATTCCAGACAACAGTACAACTATATTGAGAACCAAATGGATTAAAAACCAACCAAATCAAAAATCTAGAGTAATATTGAGAGAGGAAGTAAATAAACAAGATAAACTAGTTGTTCTTTCAAGCATCAACTGAGTATTCATACATAAAGTCAAAAAAGCATCAAAACCTAGTTGATATCTTGAAAACAAATTTAAAGAAACTGAAATTTGCATGTCTTTGAACCTCTAGGAAATCTTAATATTTTTCTCTCAAGAATTTTCTTATCTTTGATGGCTACATCACACAGAAAACCAATTGTCATCTTCCTCAACACTTTGGAGTTCTTCAACAAATACTTCACCAGCTGCAGCTCATCATTCTTACCCACAAACGCGCCTACTTCAATTACTCTCAAGTGTGATAGCAAACAACTAGGCACTACGTGTGATTCCATCAGTTTCAACGCCTCACTCAAACGAGTGTCTTGGTCACTCAAATCAATACCTGCCGCTTCCAAATTTTTTCCTGCCCACTAGATCAAAAGAAAAAAAACAAGTTTAAAAGGCAGCAAGTTAAGAACTATTCTAGAATAGATTATGTCCACGTCTAGACTCACCACACACACGTCCAAAGATTCAAGTTTAGGCAAGCTTTGAAGTACTTCTGGCAGCTTTGACAAATAATCAAAACTCAATATCGAATGTGTCACATTGCAAAATGTAAACAAGGCATTACCATCAATGCTGTCAAGAACCTTTAAGAAGTCATGAAAATATAATCAAACTAAGATTCAAGATATGCTCGACAAAATATCAACAACAACAACATATATAGGTTTGCCATCGTAGCTGAACCAGATAACCATAGATATTTAACATTAGATATTCCTTTAAAAAGCTCAAGTACACCATTGGCACGATCAGGTTGCATGTCTTCCGGGAAATTGTCTAGCCGAACATCAATTTGTGCTCTCACCAGAGAAGAGGATCGATTCTTTATCGAATGCCATGCCCCACAATCATCATCAATAACAAGACACTCAAGAACTGGTGCATCTATCACAACCTTAACATTGACAACATAGGGAGAATGTTCATCCTCCTTCACCAAAAACGTCTCCAAATTTCTCAATTTAGGGGCACAGATATTAATCAAGAACTTCTGGTTGTCAAGTGTGAACGTATAATACACATCTACACTCAAATTCTCTAGCACGGGGAACCCACGAAAGAACCCATCATTTAAGCTATCTCCCGGATCAACAATAGAAAGTTTCAGGGTCTTTAGATTTGGAAGGTTCACATAGCTCGGAAAATCGATACAAAGTTGGTCTTTGAGGTGTAATTCAACAAGGGACTTGCAAGTAAAGAGGGTTGGAGGCAAGTTAGGAAACACATCATCCGAACTAATATCAATAATAAGCTGTTCAACGTGACATTTAACTACAGCACATAACCATGAATTGAGACGGTCTGAATCGAGAGGACGTCCCTGCCATTCACGCTTATAAGTGAGACTGAACTTTTGAATAGTTGGTGACTCGCGAAGGAAGAGCACTCTATCGACGAAATCCATGAACTTTCGGAAACTAGATTTCGATATTACCTTGGATTCTGAGAAAATGAGATTGGGAACAGAGACCCAAAGATTCTTCCATCGTTTCGACAAAACACAGGTTGTCGCAACGTATTTCGTCTCCGGAAAGGAGAGAATGTGAAGAAGAATAGAGTCTGGTAAACTGTTGATGCTACTTCCTTGTTTATCATCTCCCATTTTCAAACTCTCCTCCTCTTGTTTTCCTGACCTTTTCTTCATGTGAATTTCTCCAGAACCAAACACGGAGAGGGAAAATCAGAAGAACCAGGGCTTTTTTTGTAGCGGGTGGAAGAATGTAAAACGCTAAGACACGGATTTTACCCCCGTTAAAAAAACGAAATAATCCGACATAACTGTGTCACTAATGCATTAATCAATAAAAAATTATTATAGATAACCATAAAGTTAGTAAGTGTTATGATTTTTTTATTAATTATTAATACCATGCTTATTAATACCACAATGATCATTTTTTTCTTCTTTTTTATCAAAACGATTGATAAAAATTTGATTTTTAAGGGATATCAGTATGATAATTTCACTAATTTTCAATAATAATTTAAAATAGAAACTCAAGAATGTCCAAGGACACAACATAACACCTAAAGAGAGAAACACTAAAATAAATTGTTGCTTTTAGTGAGATTGATGTTGTGACATCTTGGTTAGCAAAATATTTAGGGACTTAAAAGTGTTGAACTAAGGTTAAAACTCATTCAATTAACTATTTTAATCACCTTTAAACACACATGTTTGAAAGCTGCACCAATCTATTTAACTTAAAACTTTTTCTATTCCCTTTTCAAGTTTTATGATCCTTCCCTATTGCACCCAGAGCCAAAAAAATCCAAATCAGCAGGCCAAGGCAGAAATTTTGTTTTTTTTGTGGAACAAGCTAATCTTATATCGACTACTCCCTCGAGATTAACGACTAACCATCGTAACTTGAGCTGGATTAAAGTATGTCTTTTAAGAAACAAAAGTGACTAACTCTTAAGAGATGTAAAAAAGGATTAAATATGAGACCTGTGAATTATCAAAGGTTAGGCCCAACTATTAAACTATCCCTAAGAGTTAAAGATTAAAGCTGATTATCCCAAAAACACAACACCAGAAGTAGGAAGAAGAGGGGGGAGTTCAAATTTTGAACTGAGCAAAAGAAAAAACTATTGTCATCCCTGTTGGTCATATTATCAACCAAGTTTCTTGCATCAACGGCAAACAAATGAGTCCACCCTATGTATACACAAACACATGACAATTATGCAGGATTGAGAAACTGAATTACCCTTATAACCATGGAAAACTCACCAACAGAAAAATGGAGACTTTAATTGATTGCAGCATTCAAGTTCACCAAGAACATGTAAAAGGAATCAACAATTAGAAAAACTTAGGAGTTCCGAAAGCCGAGAATAATTAGGATGGCTTGTAGTATTTTGTGGGTACAAAAGGCATTTTTGTGACAGCTCCATCGTTGGACTTCCCACGAATCACAATCTTAACTTTGGTCCCAGCCTTGTGGTTTCCAGATTTCACGTAACCCATGGCTATGTTCTTCTTGAGACACGGGCTGAAGCCTCCACTGGTCACTTCTCCGATGCTTTGGCCTTTTTCATCCTGAATATCACTGTGACTTCTGGGAGGTGGTCCTGATGAGAAAAAACCGACTCGCCTGATTGATGGACCATCTGCAATTTGTTTGAGTATTACCTCTGCACCCAGGAAACCCCCTTCTGCCTTTCTTCTCTTTCCTATGGCCCATGTGAGTCCTGCCTCGACTGGTGTCGTGTGCTGCTCCATGTCATTGCCATATAAGCACAACCCAGCCTCAAGCCGAAGACTATCTCGAGCACCCAAACCAGTCAGCCTAACCTTTCCTTCAGATTTCTCCAGAATAGCTTTTGCAAGATCAACTGCATGCTCTGAGGGAACTGAGATTTCAAATCCATCTTCACCTGTGTACCTAAAGATCTCATTGAACAGAAGGTCAATCAATCCATTGCGACAGTAAATCATACAAGCAAAGATTACAAGGGGAGAAGAACGAGAACGAAAAAAATGGGGCATTGATGGTTAAAGACTAACCTAACTAAAGATCAATAACTGTCTTCATGTCCCCGAGATAGACGGAGTTTTCCATAGTTTTATATAGGGCGGTCTAAGCAGGACCAGAGAGCAGTTTGTGTCACAACTCCAACCAGGGCATCAAGCCATGATTTAGTAACACTTGCAAAATACACATTACTACCAGGGCAATCATCCCTACACTGCTTTGACAGTTCCCAAGTAGCAAACTACATCAGGTCGAAGCTTAGCTAGCCAATTTCTTGTGATTCTGAGACAGCCCCTTAGCATTAGGATTGGACATGATCTCCAAGAAGGTAAAGTGTCGCACTTATCAAAATTGACAACACTTAGAAAACTGGACAATTTGGTGTGAACTGGATAGGGAAATTGAATAAATAAAGTGCTAATCAGCCATTATATGGTTCAATCTTCACTCCTAGAATTCAGATAATAATCAGAAGCTAGAAGTCAATTTTACAAAATCCGAAGGAAGAGATCTCAAACATTTTGAGATTCCCAACCCTGACCCAAGAACACGTTTCCTTCA